TAAAATGTGGACAGCTGATAGATGACTGCCATTAAGCTGCTTTGCTCACTCCAGGATGGAATAGTCACTGAGCTGCAGGGTAGGCTTCTTTGATGGAAAAAAACGACCTTGAACCACAGCCACTGTCCTCCACCTCTTCCCAAACTGTCCAGTTCCTAGCCCTGATTCCTCTCGTTTCTCACAGCTTCTCTCCCATCCCATCTGCAGCAGAGTAACTAAAGCTGTCTCTAACAAGTGGATCCTAATCCATCAAGTCCTGAGAGACTCCTCAACTCACAGTGCAACCTCACACTTGGCATGCTTCTGGATCAGCTTCTCAGCTGCCAAAATCAACATCAATCCTTTGAACTTCCCACAGCCCGTGAGTTTACACTCAGCTGAGAAGTTCATTAACAAATGCATCACCCAAAAAAGCCTGGCATGGAGAGAGGCCCCCCAGGACAAGCCCTCCTTGGCCCAGAGAGCTGCAGGAGGGCACAGAGCCCTGGGACCCACACCAGCTACACGGCACAGGGAATGGGGCTGCAGAAAGAAAGCAGCAAGGAGGCTTTGCAAGAGCCTTTGGCTTGGTGGCTCCTGGAGGCTTCCAGCTGCAGCTCTGTGCCTCTGGAAGGGAATCCTTAGAGCCAGCAATGACTCCAAGAGTGCTGCAGGAGCACTCAGCAGACTTGAAGATGTGCATCTGCTTCATTAAAATTTGATCCCCAAGTTCCTCTCTCTTTTTCCTGCCTAGAGTGTTTTCAAGCACTGTTTTCCTGCATACCTGGATAACTGATGCTGTGCAGGGCTTTAGTTAAGGTAATTTGAGAATTCTTTTATATTGAAAAGGTATAAAAAGTAATCCTCTGAAGTACTTGATTTTCCTGCCACGACATTCTGTTGTAACCAACTACTTCTGCTTTGCCTCCTTAGTATTCTGAGGGGTTATAAAAGAATGATTGTAGTTCAGAACACAAAAAAAAACCAGGCCTGGCAGCCCCTGGGGGATACAGAGCAGAACAGTAAGGGGCCCCAGCTAAGACCCAGGAGAGCTGAGCTCTCCTCCACAGGCTAGGTGATCAAATCTTAGGAACTTTGCTTCCTGACTCTTCCTCTGCCATGACTTCTTTGGGGAAGGAAAAGTTCCTCTGCCCCTAAACACTGCTCAGCAAAATAAGTGCAGATGTAATGCAAACCAATAGCAGCAGAAAGGAACTGTAATTGTAATAGAAAAAAAAAAAAAAAAAAGCAAAACGAATCAGTAAAAGAGGAGATGGCACTGCCCAGGTCTGTGTTGAAGTCGGCATGTGTTGTATGCAACGTTACAGAAGCAAAACTGCATTTCTGTAAGCCCCTGAGAGAGACAGAGTTTAGCACAGCACAAAGGCCCACTATCATAATTCCAACACAACTCCAGCTTATTTTCCACTAGAGTAACAGAGAGAGGATACAGCCTCAAACACAGGTCCCTTGGACAACCTCACCCAGTGGCAGAGGGTAACCAACCTTACCTGACTAAAACCCTCCAGACGTGCTTTCCCTTCTTGAAGGCATCTCCACGAGAATGTCATCACCCTCACATCCCCAAGCTGTGTGTGTGGGTGTGTTGGGGCAGCCCTTGCTGAGAGAAACTGTACCAAACACACTGAAACATCAATGCACACAACACTTCTTTTTCTGTTTGTCTGTGGAATCTTCCTGACTTATGTGTGCCTGTCACACCCTGGCTGAGAAGGATGCCATTCACCTACTGAGAATTCACTTCCAGGTTTGTGCCACCCATACAGAATTTGAGTTTCAATCCACTTCTCAAGCAGCCAACACTATGGGTGTTCATGAAATATTATTCCCTTCTTTCCTGAGGTCACCAAGGCAGACACTCTTGGTCCCACTACAAAGTATCTTGATACTTGAGCACAGCTCACTGCTTTGCTGGACAGCAAACTCCACATCACATTGCTGTGCTGATCTCAGAGCTAAAAGGTTAAACACTCATTTCCAAGACAGACAGCCCCCACTGAAGTGAGACACCAGGAGAAGCCTTGTGTGTCTGCAAAGCAGAAGGGAAGAGCCCCCTTAGACACAGCTGCTTTCTAACAACCATGCTTAATGCAGAATGCTTGGGGGATACTCTATTTTTATAGCTTTCATCCATAAAATAAGAAGCTAAAGCTTCTGGAAGGAGAACACAATTACCCTACAATGATGTAACATCAGAATAAATTCAGGCACAATCTGTATAAGCAAGGAGAAAAAGCACCCAAGCTTTTTCCAATTGGCAGTAGATAATACTTTATAACTGCCCTGTCATCAACCTTCAGAAGTTATCTCCAGAGCCATATGTGGCTTGGCAACCAGGCACACTGGCTAACTAGTTTTGCATCTAGCTGTACAGAAGTAGAGACATAAGGAAATGAACAGCCTGGCAGAACAAATGAACTCTGAAGCAATGACTTCCATAAATAAGTGCCTGCACACTGGCAGATGGAGAAAAGCACAGTTAGGGAGGGATTGTGTTGCAGCAGCAACTCGATTTTAAACAATTTGTAAAAATCAGCCTGAACTTCAGATTTGAGGCATTTCCAGTGGATTCAGTCCTACTCTTGTTGGGGAAATTCCTCTCCATAAAATCAGGGAAGGTGAAGGTAGAAAAATGCATCTAGCAAAAGATACCAGGAGCTGCTTCAGGGAGCAGAGAACAGCACTGAGAAGTCACTGATGATTTTTGCCTCTTACTACTCTGCTAATCTTGCTTTTGGTACCGTTCAGAAAGACACAACCTGTCATTCCCCACAGCCTAGAAAAGCAACACGTGGAGAGACACTCCCAGGCCAGATGGCAGCACCTGAAACAAGGGCACAGTGGATACAGGAATGTGGAATACACACATGCACCTCTCCTGCAGTGAATGAGAATTTGTGCCTGTTGCTGCCTTCTGCACTCATTCCTCTGGGGATCAGTCTATACCTTTCCTGTTTGCAGGCAGCAGACTGATTCCTAGTCACTGTTAAATGTGACAGATTAATGGAAAATGAGTATTACTTTTATTCCACTTTTTGGGTTAAGGGGATTCCTTGTATGGTGATCTCAAAGATTTTTCTTCTTGCTATATCTGAAACAACTTTTTGTGCACACCTTCTAACCCCAGTTGACATGTTTATTGTGATATGGAAGAAGAGAAATTAAATTAAATTTCAATAAACAAGCCAAACTTCACTAAACTCTCTCAATAATAGAAACTCCTTTTCTCTTCCTGACACTGTATCAGTTGACATTACCTGTATGATCTCACTTCTTGGCACTGCTTGGTTACCACCTCAGATCTCACATGTCTGTGATACCCCATCTTCTCCTCCCACATCACAGGGGTGACCAAGGAAAGCAGCAGGCACCAATTTCCCAGGGGATGTCCCTAAATCCAAACCCTGCACTAAGCTGAAGCCATTTACAGTGGCAATCAGTTCAGAAGCTGCTTCACTTTGGCAAGAACCTCCATGGAAAAGCCATGACCTGCCTTCCCCAGGCCCTTCCCAGGGATCTGCCAGCTCTGTAAGCCATGGATCAGGCTGGCTGCTCCACTACAAGGTGCACAGCAAAGCCAGCACAGCCACTGCTCCAAGGAGCCAAGGGCCACATGCACACACCTAAATTATGGAGGGTTCCCCCTGCACGGATGCCACTGTGTAAATGTTTTGCATCAAATCATAACAGCCACTATCAATCAGAAGAGTGGAGAACAGATGGGGAGGAGGCTGTGTTGATAGAAAGGACTCAAAGAGGAACGTGGATTTTCTCTCCCACTTTCCCTGGTCTGGTATCAGCCCTAAATGAACCTTTGCACATCTCCATACAGGCAATTCCCAGTGTGTTCCAGTACTCCCTGGAAACTCTGGTTGCTTTACCCCCACAGCACAGGATATGTGAACACATCTACAAAATGCTGCAATGTCAGATTCTTCTCCTGCTCCTCTGGAAGAACAACACAGGGCTATCTGAATTTCTACGTTTTCTTACTTTTGTAAGAACTCTTTTTTTGTGTTTAAGTTTTTAAAAGAGACAAATGTTTACTTAATATTGGGTCCAGCAAAACAATTGCTGAATCTCCAGGTTTCTCTTCAGTGTGAAAAGATTACCATTGCAACTTTAATTAAGATTTTGTAATAGATGTTGTAGGAAATTCACTTAAGGCTGCAGATTTAATGTAAGATAGTACTCTGTGGGCACGTGCTTATAACAAGCATTTTCTCCAAAATAATCTAAAACTTTAAACAACTTCCAAATAACTCAATGCAAAAGGCAGGCTCCAAATTGCTACTTGCAGTAACATCATTGTAAACAATCCTAGCTGTTCAAAAGCCTCTTTAAAATGGGTAAGTTATGGCATTTTACACTGCAAAATCCTGTTATTTTTTGCCAATAATTTTCTTAGTACTGAGTACTTGTTCTTAGTACAACACTGAACACCTAAACATACCTAAAACCAGCTGTAAAATATTGTGCCAAGGATAGTTTGTGACCCAAACATAGCAGGAGGAGTCACCTGAGGAGTGACATGTTTATGAAGTGACATGCTTATCTTCCTGGCAGTGTGAGGGTAATTGATAACATATCTGGCAATGTAGACCCAGAAGGGCTGAAAATCAGTATATATATATTATAATGAATATGTATGTAATACAGTGAGCAACAGAAGAGGCTGAAAACTCACCCTGTGTCCAGCCCCAGATTTCACACGGGGGCTTCTTCCCTCACCCCAAAAAACAACCCCCACCCTTCATTAACACTGAGTTGGAAAGACAGTCCAGAAAAACACTTTGGTTCACATATTGAGAAGTCATCTACAAAAAAAAGTCATCTATGTAAAGCAGCCAAAATAGTGTGCATTCCAAGAATTACCCAACCTTCTTGGAAACAAAAACTGGCCTGAAAAAAAAACCCAACACAAACAAAAAAGTCATGCTTTAAAGTTAGTTATGAAAACGATAAGAAATGATTAAAATACCCCAACACGAACCACATACCTTAGCTATTTGGACACACCAGTTCAGCAGGAGCTGGGAGCCAATATTATCCTTATGTTCATGGACATAATCCAGGAGGCAGCCATGAGGCATCAGCTGAGTGACCAGCTGGATGGTGGGGCTCAAGCAGACGCCCAGGAGTCTCACCAGGTGTGGGTGGTCCATGCTGGCCATGATGAGAGCTTCCTGCAACAACAAAAGTCACCCCAACATTACCCCAGCGTGCACAAAAGTGACTGAAGGGGATCAGTGTCCCCTGAGCACCATGAATTCCTGTCTAGCCAGTGCTAGGCATTCCTAGGGAACATGCAGTCTGACATAATGCCATTGATGTTCTGAGTCCCAAAAAACCCAGAGTCTGCACTAATCTAAAATTCTGCACTGCCCCACATCCCCTGTCCCATTGCAGCCACAGAAACAAAGATGTAGGTGTGACACACTTCACTTAAAGTCTCCTTGGTCTTGTTTTGATGCCTTTTTGGGACTACCTAAAAACAGAGGCCAGACAAAATTTAGGGTAAAAATAGTGGTTGTATTTACTGAAGGGCCTTCAGGTACATTTAGGGCAGATGAATCCCACCTAGGGGCTACACCCAAAAAATGGATGACGGGTCACAGCTTTTCACCCTTTGTTGAGTTTGGTCCATTTGAATACTGGGACTTAGCCTTCCAATTACAGCCCCAGGTAATGAAGTTTTTTTACCCCAAGTTTGCTTTCTAAATCTGAGCCACTCAGCTCAGCATCTGATTCTTCCATGACCTCTCCCAACAGATCTTGGATGAGTTCATTTTGGTTTTTCCACACTTTAGCTTTTCTCACAGAAAAGGCTTTATTTCCCTTTAACAGACCATAAGTTTTCAGGTACCATGCCAGGTTTCAGGTCCAGGACCAAGGACCAGAAGGTTTAATCTTGGCTATGCTATTTGACCCTAAAGTTCACACCCCTGACCAGTAGCACAGGAGTTCCTTAATAAAACCCTACATAACTGATCCTAAAGGTAATGCTGCCAGCACAAGCATTCAAATGCAGCAAGGAGAAAGCTCTTCCCTCTCATTCACTGAGTCTTCCATTTAAGACCACTTCATCATGGCAATGGAACAATGAAAAGTGAGATGAAATTGTGGCTTTGTAAGGCTATTTTGGCTGTGTTCTTTTTTTTTTTCCCTCAAAAAATTCCCCAATATGACATCTGACAACTTACAGAATAATAGCTGTAATGGTGCCAAAAAAAGAAAGAAAGGAAAAGAAAGGATGAGACAAATTTGCTACTAGAAGAACATAGAAGTTTGGGGGTTTTTTCCCTTCCCTATATTAAGGCAAAAGAAAACAAAAAAGGTTCTGGCAAGTAGGCTGAGTTTGTATTAAAGGAAATTGCTCATCACAGTACAAAGAATATTTGAAACCAAATTGCAGATATTTGCATAATAGTTCTTTTACTTTCTTTACCCCTATTTTTTTTTTTTTCAGTAAAACAAAAAGATGAACAAGACACTAATTGTAGGGTTTTTTCCCTCCCAATAAGAAAAGAGCAGATGGTCCTCACTGGGGGGGAGTGACTCCTTCCCTTTTCTTCCTCAATGTATGTGAAGAAATAAATAAATGAATAAATAGGGGCTATTTGATGGGATAATTAATGGAGGAGCAGATCTGAGAAAGATTCCTATGCAACAAATTAGAAAAGGAATCTGAATTTAACCAGTTTTGCTCACATTCAAATTCACATAGTTCCCACTCACTTAAGTATGAGGACTCCTTGAAACAATTTTAGCCTTTCTTCTGCAGTGACTTGAAAATATCCCAAAAGGCCACCAGAATAAATACCTGTAGACAGGTGAATTATTCAGTTTCCAGAGTACAAAATTACTCTGCCTCCTTTTTCCCATTTTTCCATTCATTTTTCTCTTGCAGATGAATACAGGGACAGCACTTGCTGCCCACTCTGCCTTTGAGTAAAGGTAAGAGGTTCCCCATGAGCTTGGAGCTGGAGTACTTTTCTTTATCATCTGGACTGATTAGAACAGAGATATTTTTTTTTCTTTTGTCTTCCAAAGGCCCACACAGAAAGCTTTGAAGCTTTAGTCTGTCCATTAGTCTCCAGCTACTTTCCATTGCCAAATCTGTATCCAAAGGAAAACTTCTGTACAATAATAAAAGCAAGCTGTGCTATTTGTCTTACTCTGATGGTACAGGAAAGCATATGCTTTTCCAATAGTTTTGGGCAAGAGTTTCAGAAAAAAAAGTTAAAATGTTTGTTGATAAAATATGGAAAAAAGTAAAAATGTTTGTTGATAAAATATTATGGACTTCTCGGTAATGAATTAAAACACACACACAGAGCAAGGAAATCTTCATTATAGATCTAAGCCACTGATACTAATTTAGCATGAATCCTGGCTTCACACAGTTATCCTCATTAGTAAAACTATTGTTATTTTTATTGAACTTCTATCTACATAAGAACTAAAATCAGGGCTATGTGTATCCAGCACAGCACAAACACAAAGTAAAAGAGATTGCAATTGTTCTGCTAGAGCCTAATTAGACAAAACAGACAAACAACAACAACACAAACATTATGACTTAGCAGCACTTTAAGAATCTGTTCAACAAATAAAGAATACAAGCCTCCAGTTTCAAACCTGTTTGGACATGAAAGACCCTAGAGCTGTAATCTTTGTGGCACTTTGACACTCAGCAGCCTGGCTCCCAATAGAATTGTCTGAAACATTTTCAGCAGCTAGGGCACCTCAACTCACAAACTCGGCTGGTGGCACTGGCATCTTTCACAACCAGCCTCTGCAATTTTCTGGACCTTCTGGTAGCTGTGTGTCTGCAGCTCCTGTCTCTACACTCGGTTGGCACAATTACAGGAATGAGTTTGAAATGCTAATTTAATGGAGAGGAAACTGAGGTACCAAAAGGGTCCAAAGTCACGTAGGAAGCCTGGAGCACAAGTGGAAACAGTGCCCCAGATCACTTTGCTTTTCTCCCCTGAAAAAAATCCACGTCCATCATTCCTCCCTTCTGCCCCTTCTCAGTGTAGTTACATTATTGCTCCATTAAGCTCAACTCCTGTGATTTATACACACAAGCCTGTATTAAACAGTAACATTAAACAATGACAGAAATGTTATTTTAATGGTTCACACTTATCTGTGTGACTGCTGTGTGCACAGACAGCAGCCCAAAGAAGGTTGAGTTTGCAGGTCCCAGTGAGCAATCACTGGTTTCTGTCTGCAGAAATTCTAGACAGAGGTTTCTATTACTGGTTTCTGTCAGCAGAGCTATGTCAAAAGGGGTCTGAGGAGGTGCAATTGCAATTTGGAAATCTCATCTAAAATTGTTTCCTGATCTATCTATACTGTGCAGTCATGTTTGACATATCTTTAATTTGGCTGCTGTTTCTGAAAAGTAACTCAAAATCCAGCTAAAGCACAATTTTCATTTGAGCCTTCCAGGATGGGTAAAAAACCCCCACAGTTCTTAAGACTGTGAGAAGAGTGCTCTGAGTACACCTACAGCCCATCTTATAAGATGGTATTTAACTTCCCCCTTGCTAACAATTACAGCTGCAAACAGAACACAAATAATATCCAGCATGGTGGCTCCTGAAGAACAGCCTTTGATATTGGTTTTGTTTCTCTGACCATGAGGTTTGTAACCCAGTGGACTCAGCAAGGTGCATGTGCCAGCAGCAGCAAGATAATGCCATACTCTGCCATGCTTAGGTCCATGTTGAAAATTGATTTCCACCCAGAGAGGCCCAGGGGGACAACTCTCTTCAGCTCATGCCCTCATTTGTCAGTACATCCACAGAGCACTGCGGGACACTCACCCACAGGCAGCCACTGTCCCCTCCCAGTGCTCCACACACTCATGCTCCCTGCTCAAGGGAAGTTTCACAGATCTGCTTCCACAATTTGGCAGGCCCAGAGTAAATTTTACTGCTCCTCTTAACCCAGATCAAGACATTCACCTGATAAAGAGTTAAGTAAGCACAAAGTCTGAAAAATCTGATTTCCTAACTTTCTGCTTCTAAATATTCTTGCCATTAAATGCCCTCAAATAAAGCAAAACAAACGATGCTAGAAAAGAACAACTCAGATGCTTTTCCTAATAATTGTCAAGAAAATAAATGTACTTAAAAGCTGACTTCATCGCTGTGCATTTTTCAGAAAGCACAGCTGAGCTAACAGGAGAGATACTACACTGAATACACTGCTTTTTACATTAATTTTACAATTCTTCTAGTGGCTGGGACAAACACCTGTCTGGAATGCACGTCTGACCTGCTGCAGGGCAGATGCAATCACAGTCCAGCATTTAACAGATCTCCAAGCCTTTTGTTTGGCTGCTAGATCTCACACATTGTTTAGGTTTTTGAGAAGGCAGCTAAGCCTGCAGGCAGCTTGGCAAGGCATGGTTGTGTCCCCCCAGCCTCACCACAGGTGACTTCACTTGAGCCTTCCCTGCTCAGCTCAGTCCTGCCCTTCTCAGACATGCTATTGTGTATAAAGAAGTCATGTCACATTAATCATTCCTCTCTTCTGTCCCTTCTCAGCGTGGTTATATTATTGCTCCATTAAACTCAGCTCCTGTGATTTACACACCCAAGCCTGGCTTGTGCCAGTATTCCCGAGGAAACAGGTCTGAGAAACACACTGGCCACTCCTAGACTGTGCACAACATTCTCTCAACTTCTCTCTGGAGAAGCAGGACTCAGGAGCAAATGAACAGAGGCATTTAAAAAATCAATAATCTTTCTATATATCCACATCCATGCTCCAAGCATAAAGGAATAAGGAATAAAGCATAAGGAATGCTTACAGAAGCATCAGAGGTTCAGAGGTTGTTGCATGGAAACACAGCAGTGCACATCCAGGTCCAGATCCTGTATTCACACTCACCCAGCCAATTGCTTTTTCTACAGGGAAATGCTGAATTTGGCTGGCACAGCAGGAAATAACTAGAAGTTCAAAAGCCCTGTCATTAAGGAGTTTAACGAGCTGTTAGCCAGAGTTTTTGCACTAACCACCATCTCCTTGAAACTCCCCCCATGCCTGTTTTGCTTCAGGAAGCCTCATCAAGGAGCCTCTCTGTGTAACCAAACAGAGAAGGTCACACTCTCAGTCTTGTTTGCATGGATTTCCTCAGAGCCAGGACAAACTCTTAAGATTAAGGAGG